AATTAATTATAATATTTAAAAATATTAATTTATAAATTTATTTTAATATGTTAAATTTTAATTATCAATTATTTTTAATAATCAAATTAAACAAAATTAATTGACCTTAACAAAATATAATGAGTAACCATAACTATATTTGAGTTTTTTGATAAATAAAAATTTCATATTTAAATCTTGAAATGAATGTGTTTCCTCAAAAAGTTCTTAACTAATCCCAACCATGTGAGTTTAGGACTAAGGCATGCCATTTGCTTTGTATAAAAACAAGAAAATAGAATTTTTCAGACGACGCTTCTTTTTTCTAACGATTGACCTCTAGAAGAATGGTTGGAAAAAATGTTTATGAATTAAAATGCACCCTAGATGACGTTGCAAAACAGAGGATGAAGTTTTTTAAAGTGGGTTACTAATTGTTTTGGACACTTTCAAGAACAAAAGTTACAAACCTCAAATTAAATGTAATATCCTAAGGTAAATTATCCCAACACGAAATCAATAAAAAAAAGCAACATGCCACTAAAATAAATTCACAGACAATAGACTGTAAAATCATAAACAATGATTTTAACTATACAATTTATAACAATTAAACTAATTATATGTAGATTTAAAATAAAAATAATTGAACTACTTGATTCCTAAAACTAAAAAAGAATCTACTAATTGATTAAAGTCTGAAAACTTATAAAATTAAATCATAATCTAGATATTAAAATTAAATAAATTGTAAGTTTGGCAACTATGCGTAAAAAAGAAAAAAAGAAAAAAAAGAAGGCAAAAAGCATTCAACACATTCACATAAATAAATAACATAGATGAATCCATAAAAGATAGAAAAAACTAACCAAATCAACAAGGTAGACCCATTTATAGGGCTGCATTGCTTCCAAATCCTTAAAAAATAACAAAAGTTGCAATCTTTGAAGGAAAATACCAACAAAGATGGAAAAACCTAAACTAAAACTATGAACAAAAAAACAAATCTTGCATTCTAATATGAAAATTACACTAAAATCTGGAAGAACAAGTCTGAGAATTGTAGATGCATATGCGCTAAGTGGTTTTTCTGTAAGGCAAGCTGTGTCTGTTTGTTTTTGTGTGTGTCCCCCTAAAATTTCCTCTCTTTCTCCTTTTCTCTATTGCTGGGCGATTTCCCCCATGATCCCCACTTCTACCTTTGCAAAAACCTGCATGAAGAAGGCCACGTCTGGGAGCAGTTTTTCCACGTCTGGGAGCAGTTTTTCCCTATCTAGCAACTAATAGTTAACCCCTATAAAATCTCCAACAAAATTATAGATAAATCTTTCTAAAATCTCTCCACAATCTCCTAATTAGGCTAAACTTTAACTACCTTAAAGCATATCTTAAGCCCAAAACTTGGACTCTAATAAGTCTATCATAATTCATTCAAATCTTAAGCCCAAAGCCACCTATAAACTCAGCTCAGCCCATTCACAAAAAATGTGACCCACTTAATCCTAGCACACACGTGGCCTTCATTTTAGGTGTAAACAAAATGAAAAGATATATATATATATATATTTATCTTGATTGCACAATGAGAGACAATCATCTTCCGTCCTTTATCCCACTTTACTTGTATGCCATGTGACTCAAACTCAGAATCTCTTACTTTCAATGGAAGAAGATGACCACTAAATTATTTAAGTCGCTAACAAAATGAAATGAAAAGATATTAAAATTTTTAATTTAGCCATTTCTAATGGCATATAGCTGATTATATATACTTAATGGTCGATATTTGCTACTATTTATAATTCAAACAATATCAATTATTAGATATTGAACTTTCAATTATAAACCGTTTAAAATAATTACATTAAACAGAGTCTTAATAAATAGAATTGAAAAAATTATTCTCTATTCTACAACTCATTATTATCACATATGGACGAAAAAAAGGTCTCATCCACTATGCACTCAATTCCCATGACCCCAAGGTCCCCAACCAATCAATCTCAACCTAAATTAAGAGCCTTAATTAATAACAATCTTAGGTCTCAAGCAAAGCATCTACCTCTCAAGTCTTACCCCCACCCCCTAATGCTCTTCCTAACATATTCTGAAAGTGAAAGTGGACTCACTGAGATTTTGACTGAAACAAAACGTGTATAGATTCCCTAGGGGAAACTCCCAAGACCACCATGACCCTTAAATTAAGGCAGCAGCGCCGCTTACCCTTAATTTTTGTTTATATTTTTTGGCTACTTATCGTCCTAAAGGTATTAGTTTAAGGGACCCTTTACCCCAAGGTCATACCATGGATTAAACAATACCCTTTTGCTTTTGATTAATAGTAACTAACATAGTTTTGGTTTTGGTTAGCTTAGGCAGAATTTAGATTCCCATCGTCACGTGATGCTGCCTCAAAATCAGGGATGTGTTGTCGGTAAGGCTACTACCACTCCACTTAAATCCACTCCCTTCCAAAAGTCATATAATCTTTTATTTGTTTCTTACTAACCGGATACATGCCTTGTTTTCTTTCTTTTTCTTTCTCTTTTCATTCTTTTTATGGTTTTAGAATGCGAATTGACCCACTAGTGTTTTTGGCCCTTTAGCTCTCAATGAGAGTGCTTTTGCCCAAATGATTTTTAGCTTATTTTCATGGTCAATGCTGCATACCTACCACTAATGTCCCACATTTTTAGTCTCTCTAAGTATATCTAGGGGCTTATTTCCTCAACAAAAATTCTCAAGAACTCAAGATTTAAAGTTTAAAGTTTTTATTTAAACCTTAAAATGGATAAGGATTTGAAATGGTGATGATGACTATCCCTATTATGTAGTACAACACATCTTAAAATGT